CTTCAAACCAGCTGAGCACAGACTAAAACCTCCAAAAACTGTAAGCCCAATAAATCTTTCCTTCCTTCATTTTGAGTGTCAGGTATTTTGTCCCAGCAATGAGAGAAAAGTAACCAAGACAAGGATCAACACAGAAAACACAGTATATATTTTTGAAACCCAAAATGACAAGATGTGGAAGAAAGATGTAACCTGAAACCTTCAGCTCACCCAGAACAAGTCTAGGACACAGAGAGACAGAGGAAAACAGAAAACACACACCTGAAATTTCTGAAATGATAGAAACCAAATTAAAGAAACAAATCCATAAGGCGATAGAGGAAGTGAGACTAGAAATAATCTCTCAGGTATAAAAAGAAATATTGACAATTATAAAGGAATTGATTAGCAAATCTTGAGACAGATAAAAAGTAGATCATGATAGAAAGAGGGTAGAAATTATGAACAATCAATATAGGAAAGAAACAGATTCAAACAGATATACAGGAAATTAGAAATTCCATTGAAAGCTGAAAAATGACTTGAATGAAACTGAAGACTGACTTTCAGTTTTGAAGACAGGATGTGGCTAGTGACCACGAAAGGCAAGATCTCTCAAACAAAACAAAACAAAACAAAACAAAACAAGGGATCAAGAAATAATCCAACAGCTGCAAGACAATACAAAGACAAACAATATAAAACTGATAGGTGTTAGTGAAAAAGCAAGAGCTAACAAATGACATAAAAAGACTATCTGCAAAAGTAATAGCAGAAAATTTCCCAAACATGAGAACATAACCTGACATCCAGGTAAATGGGGCCTAGAGAATCCCAATTAGTCATGACCAAAATAAATCTACACCTCAACATACAATAATCAAGATCCCAGAAATTCAACACAAGATCAGAATATTAAACCTGTTAGGGAAAGGAAACAGATCACCGATAAAGGCAAGCCCATCAGAATCATGGCAGACTTCTCGACACAAACCCTCAGATCAAGAAGATCTGAGTGAAGTACTCAAGTCCTGATAGAAAACTACTTCCAACCCAGGTTCACGTACCCTGCAAAAGTATCTTTCAAAATTAATGGAGAAATAAGATACTTTTACGACACAGAACTGAAGAAACTCATGACTACCAAACCAACTCTACAATGAGTACTGAGAGAGATAAAAATGACAATTTCAAGAGCAACTACAGGAAGAAACCACCATGGAGGGTAAGTGGTTAAACAGGGAGGTAAATCAGGGAACCGACGGCAGGAAAATAACATGACAAATATAAGCCAATACATATTAGTTATGACATAAATGTAAATGGCCTCAATTCACCAGTTAAAAGAAACAGACTGCCAGAATGGATCAAGAAAGAAAATCCAACCATTATGTTGTACAGAAGAAACACATTTAACTCAAACAAAATGTATAAACTAAAAGTCAAAGGACAGAAAATAATACTCCATGCAACAGGAACCCAAAAATAAGCAGAGGTAGCTATTTTATTTACAGAAAATGTCAATTTCTAACTAAGAATGATCAAGAGATAAAAAGATCACTATATACTTCTTAGGGGAAAAACTGAAGAGGAAGAGATACCAATTCACGTATGTATGCATCAAACAGAGGTGAACCCAACTATATAAGACAAATATTAATAGACATTGAAATTCAAATGAGCAAATACAATGTAAAGGGAGGCCTTAGTACCCCACTGTCACAAAGAGATAGATCAACTAGACAAGAAATTGGCAAACAAATATCAGAACTGAAATGCACTGTAAACAGACTTAGTAGATACTATAGTTTTCACCCCACAACATCAGAATACACATTCTTCTCAGCTGCACATAGGATGCTCTCTAAAACAGACCATATGCTAGCCTACAGAACATGCTTAACTGGAATTATCCCATGCACATTATGTGGCCATACTGTGATGAAATAGGAAATTAGTGACAAAAGAAACCACAAACACTCCATAAACTCATGGAAATTAAATACCACCCTCCAGAACAAACAATGGGTCCCAGATGAACTTAAAGAAGAAATTAAACAATATCTACAATCAAATGAAACAACAGATACAACATACTGGAATCTGCGGGATGCAGTGACAGCAGTCCTAAGAGAGAAATTTGTGCTGGTCAATTCTCACATTCGGAAAACAGAACAAGCACAAATAAACAACCTAATGTTACACTACAACCTCTAGGAAAAGAAGAGTAAGTCAAGTCCAAAGCCCACACAAGGGAGGAAATTATAAATTATCAGAGCAATTGAGACTAAAAAAAACACAAAGAATTAATGAATGAAAGAGTTAGTTCTTTTCAAGAATGAATAAAGTTGATAAACTGTTAGCTAACTTCATCAAAAAAAGAAAAGTGAAGACTCAAATCCATGCAATGAGGAATGAAAAGAATGAAATCATTAAAGATCCTGTGGGAATCCAGATCATCTGTATGTACTTTGAAAACTTGTATTCTCATAAAATAGAAAAAACAGAAGAAATGGGCAGATTTCTAGGTATGTATGAATTTCCAAAGCTGAATCAGGAAGATATAAAAATTCTGAATAATTGAATATAAATAAATGAAATTGAAAGTGTAATTAAAATCTCACTAACAAAGAAAAGCCCAGCTCCTGATGGATTTACTGCTCAATTCTACAAGAAAATTAGAGAAGATTTAATGCCAATACTCCTCAAAATTGAAAGGGAAGCAATACTGCCTAACTCATTCCTGGAAGTAAATATTATCCTATTAGCAAACCAGAGTAAGACCCAACCAAAAAAAGAACTACAGACCAATCTCCCTAAAGAACATAGATGCAAAAATCCTCAATAAGTTACTAGCAAATAGAATGTAGCAAATCATCAAAAAAGCAACATACTATGACCAAGTAGGATTCATCTCAGGAATGCAAGGATGGTTCAACATATGATAATCAATAAATGTAATATACCATGCAAATAAATCTAATGACACAGTCACGTGATCATCTCAATAGATGCAGAAAAGCTTCTGACAAAGTCCCACACTCATTCATGATAGAAACTCTACAGAAAATCAGAATAGATGGTCTTTACCTTAGCCTGGTTAAAAAAAAAAAAACCACCATATATGACAAACCAACAGCCAATATCATTACAAATAAAGAAAAACTGAAAGCTTTTGTTCTAAAATCAGGTACCAGACAAGGTTATCACTACTCCTGTTCAGTACAGTTCTGGAAACATTAACCAGAGCCATTAGACAAAAGAGAGAAATAAAAGGAATAAGAATAGGAAATGAAGGAGTTAAATTATCATTATTCACAGACAACATGGTACTCTGCATAGAACACCCCAAAAACTCCACCAAAAAACAATCAGATTTAACAACCAAATTTAGTAGTATAAAAGATGGATACAAACTCAACATTCAAACATAAATAACATTCCTGCACAACCACAACAAACTCACTGAGAGAGAAATTAGGGAAACCACACTCTTCACAATAGCATCCAAAAAAAAACACTTAGGAGTCAGTCTAACACAGGAAGTAAAAAAATCTGTACACTGAAAATTACAGTACTCTGAAAAAGGAGATCAAAGAGGACATCAGAAAATGGAAAAAATCCCTTGCTCATGGGTAGGAAGAACCAGCATAGTGAAAATGAGCGGTGAGACCTCTGTTGGATAGGTCCCCGAGTGCAAAGTCCTGTCCTTGGCAACTGTCTAAGCTGGAACATGGGCCCAGGGAGGAGTGGGGCATTGGACCCCGGGCGAAGACTCAACTGGGCTCGAAGCGCCTAGCATAGATCCTGGCTGGTTAGACCAGCACTGGACACCAGATGAACAATCTGGGGCTATGGGACCCACTCAAAATACCAGATGGAGGCTTGTGCAGGCCTGGGGCACCCAGGTGTGCCCAGGGTTGATAAGAGATTCTGGTGGGCCCAAGGGTACTAGGTGCTAGGTGGAATCCAATGCTAAGAGGCAGGTAGAACTCCAGTGGGCCACTTGGCTGAGACCCAGACGAGTCTGGGACAGTGGCAAAGTGCAGGATGGAGACTCCAGTGTGGCCAGGGAGGGGCAGGCGTCTGGCAGTGAGTGGAGCTCTGGCAGGCCAGGCACACTGGACAGGGAGTCACATGGGCCTGGGGCTCTCCATGGAGGATGGGACTAGGGCTGGAAGTTAGAGAGAATCCTGGGCAGCTCTCGGATGCTGTGAGGCAGGGAAACACTGAGCGGCAGGTACAGACTCACGTGATCCAGTGTCAACTCTGAGTCTCAGCTGGAGGGCCTGGAGAGCATATGACAAACCTGAGGGGCCCAGCGCTAACCCGGACAAGCTTAGCACTCAGTTGGGACTGAAATGGGCCCGGCACTAATGCAGGCTGATGAATGGTGACACCAGGCACAGGCAGCTGGGCAGATGGTTGCAGTAAACAGTTTATCCTCTTGCTTCCTGAGGCTGGGCGGGAGGGGAGGGAGACTCCCCTGCCCTTAGTGAGCACTGGCATGTAGAGGGGAGTGTTCGCAGAGGGGAGGATGGGGTGAAGGGGCTTGCATATCACGAGTCTGTCCTGGGACACTGGTGTCTGTGGCACTCGCTGGGTCCCTCAGACTATTTGGGAAGTTCTCAAGATGGCTGTTCCAGGGGCTGGGGATTTAGCTCAGCGGCATAAGCGCCTGTCTTATAAGCAGGCAGTCGTGAGTTCTATCTCTGGTACCGATAAAAAGGAAAAAGACCAAAAAAAAAAAAAAAAAAGATGGCTGTTCCCAGGCAGATGACAGTGGGGCCCTAGTGGATCACTTCCCCTCTTTTTAACTGCTACCCAGATCTTCAAATTGATCTTCTCTATCAAGGTATGTGTCTCTCTCTGGTTTCCAGTTTCCTGCGTTTTTAGTTAATCTTCCCTGAGTCCCACATGAATCCTCATTTAACCAAGGTAAATCCCCACTTTTAAAAGTGCTCTAAGACCAAATTCTCCGAATTTCCCTGGCCAAACTAAGGAAGTAAAGTTCTTAAACATAAGAGAGCAGTCACTTGGCCCAAAGCCTTTATTAGTCAGCGTGAATAGACTCCTGAGGATGGGGATACAGAAACTCTCTGAACAGTAAAGGAGACACCGAGAAGTGAGTCCTGGATTTGGCCTATACTTCTATACTGAGTGTAATAACGCGGACGATGGTATAAAATCCAGACCTTCAAATTACCAGTATAACAACAGAAAGAAGATAATTTTGCAGTTAAAGACTGCAAAATTAAGTTGTCTTTATCTGCTAATTGTTTATAAATTATGAAATAAGGTGATATTTTAGAAAATTCAAGTAAAACACTAAACTGTAACACAAAAGTTACACTGACATCTAGTGGTTACAAATGAAAGAACCCAGGTTTTACCAGATCTTGCTATTATTGCTTCTGTTCAGGAATTTCATTCCTTTTCTGATACACTTTCCTAAACTCTTCGCCAAGCATGTCAACATCATCTTCTGTTTTAAATACTCCCTGCAAGAAAAATATTTTGTAGGTTACTTGTGAATGTCAGAATATTTCACAAACTTCTTTTGAGACTAACAAATACAGAGACATGAGGTAGGAAAATCATCTAAGATACTGAAATTTATGCCACAGTATTTAAATAAAAATCAGTGTTTCCCAAAAGTCAGCTCCAGGGCAGGAACTTGTGACAGGAATTTGGGCTCCTCTAGTTTACAACTACAGACACTGCTGTTGGGAGTACCTGGAAGGATAGTAATTAAATTCACTTTGTACTCTTCAACAGCTCTACAATATCCGAGAAAGGTAGCAGTGAGGAGCCTGGGCTTCAGTGGATTCACGTATGGAACTCTTTGTCTGTTTGTTTGTTTGGTCTCAGTTGTATGGCTAATCAGCAACATGCAACCTGGCAGCAAAGAATCCAGGTTTGGATTTAAATAAGCCCTTTGAATTTAATTTAAACAAGCTGTTTGAAATTGTTCACAGATTTACGAGGTCCTCCTCCTGCCTCTCAGCTGTTTTCCCCACCAAAAAAATGCTGCAACCAGAGACTCCCAGAATTTATAATCTATTCTATGGGCTTTGTCAGAGACCTATGGATTGTATCATTAATATATTATTTTATTCTTTAATTCTGTCTAGCCAATTAGATTATAAGGTCCTATGGCCTGGCAATTGTTACTTACATAATTCTTTTTCTCCTTTCCTTAGTACTGGCCTGAACACTAAGTGTTCAAATTAAAAAACTCAACAGCATGATTTCTATATTTCAGTAATGGTAACCTTATTTCCATGACTCCAGATGATTCTGTGACTACGAAACTTACTTTATTGATAGTCACAACGTATCTCACGTAGACTTGAAAATTCACTATTTCTTGGAATTACAGTCAAACCCTGGGTTGTGATTAACTAGGTCTGTGAGTGTTCTGCAAGACGAGCAAACATTTCTGAGACATTTCAACTTGCTAAATAAGTGATGTCTTACGACATGAGCAGTACAACAGGCTGAATGTCATGTGGTCACAATGGTTCGTCTCTCTTCTATTTTGATACACAAGTGCATTGGGTTAGAAACAGAACCAATGACTCTCACAAACCAAGGTTTCACTGTTTCTAAAAGTGAGACCACCTAGCACCTCGTCACAACCTTCTAATACAGAACCCCACTCCGCAAATTCAGTTCAAGACTCACCCCTCATTGGTGTTTCCCCTTACAATGTTTCCATGCAGCTGTTATCTGGGGTCCACCATGTACAGTGGTTGGGTACTTATTCTTAGACATGTACTGAAAGGGGCTGAAAAGAACCTCCAAAATATAAATGTAGTGCCTCAGTATAATACAAACTCCACATACCTCAATGTGTGTAGACAGACTCCTACTTTAGAGATGTTCAGATGTGCTCTGCAAGGTTTAAAACCCAGCCAGGTCCTGCTGCTGCCCATAAGCCAGCAAGAAGTGCATGGCAACCACCCTCTGCCCCCCCCGTGTCATGCTTCCCACAGTTCAAGGTCATGCGGATGGCACCTGGAGACAAACTTCACTTACTTTAGGGAGATATCCTAGCAACTTCGTAGCATGCTCTTTGAGAAGCTTTAGCCTTTCTTCTTCGATAATTGCATTGATACACCCTTGTCTTCTTTGCTGCAACTGCCACTCTTCCAGTTCACGTTGCTGGAAACATAAACCCAATTTTACTGACTGTTACAAATACATTGACCTTTTAGGAAGTTTTCATGTAAAACTGTTTTGCAGTGAACTGCAGTATAAAGTTGATGATCTATCGCACTAAGTTCAAATGATACTTGTGCGTACATTTTCACATATACTATACGTATACACGTATCTAAGATCTTTTACCATTACTGCTTCAGGTGTAAGAACAATAGCTATGACTGAGTTTTTAAAAGTGCTTTATAGATATTATCTCCCTTAAATTTTAGAGACAGGTCACAATTGGTTTAAATCAAGACTAAGAAACCGATTTTTATCGTCTTCCCCGTGATGGAAGCAGGAGGCCATGAGGAGATTAAAGAAGAGCACTAACTACAGTTACACCGATACCAGTTAGAAGACACTTTCAGAAGGTGATGGCAATTGTACTGAGTGCCTGAGCAAAGTTACATACAAGAGAAGCTGGATTTAAGAGATCCCGCAGTGGTCAGTAGGATCTGGTGGCTGACCGAAAATCTTTCTGTGAAAAAGAGAAAAACTGCAGGAGTGATTCCAGGGTGATGGATCAGGCTGATGAAGTGATTACGTTCTTTAACCAGGATTCAGGCTACAAGAATTAGAAAACATTTGTCTGACTCTGTTCACCTCTGGATTTCCAACTGTGTCTCTCTCTCTAAATGCTACTGTAGTCCAGAAAAATTCCTAAGAAAACATAGCCTAAGCTTCATGCTTCCACTTGTCCTCAGGGGTTTTTAACTTGTATTCCTCTTTTAAACTCAATATGCCTAGAACAAAAGTTGCTGTATCTTTCAAACCCAACTCAAAATATACAAAAAATAGCATTTGTGTTGTTTCTCATATTTGAAAGCTCTGAATGATTTTGACTTAATTCACGCTGCCCTATGTGAGAACAGCATTAGACAATTCTTATCTGTTCCTCCTGTAAAAATACTTTTCCTTCTCTTTCCTATTGTCATCACCTCACTTCTAATTACTATTTTCTCTTACTGATAATCACATTATACTAAATGCCACAGTAGACAATTCGCCACTGTACCCTGTCTAACCTTCTGCTTGACATCCGGGTTTCTCCACCGAGTACGTTGCTATAGGCTGCCAGTGTAGAACAGCCTTCCCGTCTCCTTTTACTCTCATATATTTCCAGGTAAACCCACAAAGTTTCTAAGTGTACTGAACAATTAGTAAACTATACACTACCAAATTCTATCAGTGTTTACAATGTACATTTAATAACGTATTCTTAGTATACCTCAGTTTTATGTATAATCCAGCCCATTGGGCATCTATTTATACCCTATTTTCTGCAGTAGATCAGAAGTTTTGGTTCCCTTCCCAACACATACAACAGGATCTATCAGTCAGAATCTGTTGACTATAAAGATAGCCTGAGAACATATTTTAGTCCACTTATGAAGAGATTAACCTGTTGATCCCAGCTCTGCTACTTATTTACCAAGAATTTTTGGCAGTGAATATGCTTTTTTTATGCCTTAGCCACCACTTATCTTTAAAGTGAGATGGTAATAGCACCTAATTCAAAGGGCTAAAAGCTCAAAGAAATTATCCCATTGTTTATAATGAGGTTAGAATGAGTGACATATATAAGTGCTCAATAAAAGTTAGTTACTCCATTTTTATTGCTTATATTTCTTTACTGTATGCCAAAAAAAAAATCTGCTTCTCATATTTAGAGCTCTATTCTTTCAGAGCACTTTCACATGATCTCATCTGGCTCTTAACACAGCCTAGAGACATATACTATATAAATATTACTTTGGTTTTATAACATACACAGACAAGTCAGTGTCCAAAGTCACCAAGCTCGTTCCCTCTCCAACTCCTAAATCCACATTTCCAAATAGAAATCTTTGCCTTTGGCCTCAAAATCAATATAGACAAATAGAATTATTTACCCTCTCGAAGTCTATTTTTCCTTCTACATATGCTTCCTCCAGGATATCATCCACTTGTTAAAGATGACAGAAACAGTATTATAATTCCCCCTGTTGCTCTCGTGTTGCTGCCTGAATCACCTTCTAATGAGCAGATCTCAGCACACAGCTTTCCTCATTCGTTGGTGGCTCCCATTGGACAAAGCCCACATCCTTAACCATCATTCAGAGAATTCATGTTCTGCCGTTTCTCTATGTCACGCCAACACCTCCATACCTGGATTATAATATTATATAATCCCATGTATGACATATCTTTATAATTAACTTGTATAGCTCTTCTCAGCCAAGATCATAAATTCACAATGACATATGGACTTAGCTATATTTGCCTTTATGTTGTCAACATCAACCAGCGTTTAGCACATAAAAACATCAACAAATAGATTTTAGATGCTTTGATAAATGATTAGTCAGAAAATGTGCATATCATGTGGTTGATAAGCGGATATCTATCATTGCCTGGCACATAAAAGTTCTCCATGAACGTTCAGTGGATAAACAGATGAGCAGGTTACTGCTCCGTGAGGACTTAGAAACATTTCTATTACCTTATCTGCAAGGAACTGGTTGCGACGCTCTTCAATAAGTTTTTCCACAGCCCTTCTGTGCTCCAGCTGCTTCATCCTTCGTTTCTGGGCGTTCATTAATTCTATCCGATCGTCTTCGGCAAGCTTCGCCAGCAGAGTTTTTCTAAACATTTCCTCCTCCTCTTTTGCAGCCTGCTGTACTAGCTCTTTCAAGGCCATCTGGTCCTCAAAATCCTGCTTCATCTCATTTTGCTTTCTTAATTTCTCTTCTGCTTCTTCCTAAACAATAATACGACTAAAAGTTAACTAGCACCATTTCTTTGAAACCAATTCATAAAGAAAACATGAGATAACTTAGTTAAGCTTGGTATTCAACTGCGAAAACTTACAAACTAAAAACTTAACATTTTTTTTTTTTTTTTGGAACTGGGGATCTAATTCACAACCTCACGCTTGCCAGGCAGGTGCTTGCACCACTGAGCTAAACCCCTGGCAAACTTACATCCTTTCATAGTCCTTTGCCCCACTCTTTTAAAACTATTTGAATACAGCAACTGTTCTTTTGGATTTCCTTGAATTACTTACTTTAAAAGTTTTAAATTATATATATTTGCCATCCTGGTCGCACTCATAATTAACAGGAAACTATGTTGAACAGAGCTAGATGAGAACATTTTATGCACCTGGTTTTATTAACCTATCATCTGTGGTAGTCACACCAACTGTGAGTCCTTCTAGAATCTTGCCCAAGTTGTCCAAACCAGTAATTTTAGTTTCTGACTTCCTTTCTTTATGAATTCAAAGCTGCATTTACTCATCTCTGGTAACCTAATATGACTATCATTCTTCAAAATTCAATAAAATTTAAATAATTTAGCAATAACATTTAGAAGTTTTTTGGGAAACTCAAATTTACTTGAACCAGTTCAAGTCCTCTTCTGCAAGCTTTATTTTCTGAATTAAAGTTGCAAGCATATCAAAAACACAAAGAATTTGACAGTAAACATCCACTTGCCTAACACCTAAATGCTATGGATTACATCTTTGCTACTCTTACTTCATTGTCTATCACTTCAATTAAGACTGAAGCAAAATCAAATCCTCCCCTCTTCCAACCTAACCAATCCTGCCCAATTCTACCACAAGCTTTGGGCATGTCACTATTCTCAAGACATCCAAAATGTGCCTTGATATCCGTATGGGTTAGGGCTTTTACGAGTAACAGAGACTCAGGGATTCACTACAGGCCACAGGCACGTGATGAACTCCCAAGAGGGCCACGACACCAAGCACGGTCTCACTACTTAAAACCCACGATGGCATTGATTCCAAAGCAGCCTCGAAAGATCTGCTGTTGCTGTATGTAGCTACCATGCATTTTGTTCACCAGGACCTCCACACCTTGCAGGGCAAAGACAGCTGTTGGAGATAACACAGGTCACAAGAAGAACATTAGCTAAGAGAAAAAAATGCAATTTTGACTGTACAGTAAATCCCCAACTTATAAATATTTGCAAACGTTCACAGGTGCAGTGCAAATTTTCGCAGGAGTACTGTACAAGACTCACTTTGTCAAGGGTTAGGAGCAGACTGGAGTTACTAATTTTCTCCAGAACAGAACTTGTTCGTGAGTGGCAAACTTACTGTAGAGTCTTTATGTGGAAAGGGGAGGGCGGGAACGGATAACAGAATTAGCTGTTCAGTCTTTGCTATGCTGAGTATTCAACCTTGTCTTCATCTTACGCTTTCGAATCCTCTGTCCTCTACAAAGTCTCCTCCAAGCAGATTAGTGTTTTTCTTTCTTTCAGGCCTCTTAATCAGTTACTTAGTTTCTCTGTCACTTAATTTTATTTCATATAAACATGCCTTATCTCCTCACTGAAATAAATTCCTAGAAGACATATCCTTTTCTTTTTTGGGATGCTGGGAACACAGTATTTGTAATATATATTTTGTGTTTATTTGTTATGTATTAGATAGATGACCAGAGGCTCCAGAGTTATTTTCAGATTGCACTGCAAAGTACAGGAAGTTTATCACATAGAAATTTAATGTTCTGTACTAAAGTTAATATTGCCATATTGTTATGTCCTGAATCCACCCAAAGTTTTAGTACAATTCAATAATGAAGACTTTGATCTAAAACACATGGAAATGTCTGGCAAAACAAAGTATCTTTCCAACACAAAGTCATCCGTGTACTGTGATAGATCTGGATCAGGACCCACAATGTAAGCTATAGAATCCATCATTTCCTAGGCTCTAAAATCCATCCTATTGCTTTAGCAACAGCTGTTTGTTGAAACTCTGAAATAACCTTGAGGTGGTATCTTATTCTGAATTCCATCCTGGAAGCACAGCCTTAAACAAGGACTTGTGCATGATGTTTTATTGGGGAGGAGACAATCACAGGAAACAGCAGTGAGGGATAAGCAGAAAGGCAAAAAGGCGAGACGAGGGCGTAGGTTACCACCTTGGACAGCCAAGGCTCAGTTCTGCCAGGACCTGTGCACAGTGCGTGGAGAGGCTGCCAGGACTGTCCCAGGAAGGACAGAAAGAAGCCACGTGCCCAGGTGGTCCAAGGATGCAAGTGGTGGAGGACATTAACTCCTGCGCCTGTGCCCACCCCCATACCCAGCTCTGGGAAGCTGTCAGCAAGCGGCCGGGCTCAGCTCTCACAGAAGACAAAGTGTGTGGCAACACACAGGTGCCTCTGGGTACAGGAAAGACCCTGAATAATCTTAAATTGTCTGATGTTTCTACATTTCAAAAAAAACACTTCACCCTTTATGGGCCATTTTTTCTAATTTTTTTCTTTCTTATGTCTTTTTAAGCATCAAATGTTTTTGTTTTCTCCCCGCTATTAAGCAACTGGATTAACTAATATTAATATGTTTTCCTGATTTTCATTAATTTCTACTTATAATCTTTGGTTATTCTATATTCTTTTTTATACTTGAATTTGTATTCTTTTTCCAAGTTATATAAAGTTGCCCAATTTTTCCAATATTTCCTGATGAATTGCTCGAGATCAGTTTTATAAAATCTTATCAATTTTAATATATAGTACTCTTGTCTTCTAAACAGTTGTAATTTTTTTCTTCAACTAATAATAAATGAGAAGAATATTTTTCGATTTTTAGTTAGTTGGTTAAAATATGCTTACTGATTTCCTGAGGCAGGTCAAGTATTTTTTCGCTTTGCGTTATCCTGATAAATTTCCTTCAGATTTCTAATAGCTTTAATTATATATTTCAATGCTACATGTAAGATTAAATGTTAGTTCTGTTACACTTTCATTATTAATTGTATCTTTTATCCGTAATACTTAGGGTTTGTTTAATGGCCCACTTATCTGGTGGATAAGCCTCCCTGTCTGACTGCTATTTAGACATATATACTGGTTAGCCTTAATTTATCATTTATTCTTAATCTCTTTTGGGTAATTTGATATTAGGTAGCTATAAGATCACATTAAAATATCTCTAAAAATCTACACACATTTTCTTATATTAAAGATAATAACAGTAACAGTGACAATTTATTGTATGCACTGCTATTCATACATCTTGTTCTGTATAAAGAAGCCATTCAAATTTCTTGCTCACTTAATAAGACTAGATTTTTTAATATTTTATCAAGTGCTCTTTATATATTCTGCCTAAAAGTTGTTGAGCATTTATTCCAAATATATGAAAAGTTTTTTTATACAGAAATCTGAACATTTACAGATTTATTCCTAAGAGTCAGACCTTAGATTTCTTTAATGGGTCAAACAAACTAGGATCTATATATGAATGAAATAATACTCATCAAAAAAATACAGATACAAGCAATAATATCAATGAATTTCCATGGAAATATGCTTAGTGAAAACAGTGGATCTCAAAAGATTACATACCATTCCATCCAGTTATATAACATTATGATTATGACAGGTTTGTGCATTCTTTGATACTTATCAGTACTTCATTCATTTGTGGTTGAATAATTTTGTTTCACATTCATCAGCTGAACATTCTGATGGTTTTCACTTTTTAGCTATTATGAGTCTTATATGAACATTTGTGTACAGATTTTGTATAGCTATAAGATCATTAATTTTTAACCATTTTTCCTTTCTAAAACATACGTACTTAAAAGATGCAACCTTCCTGTTAAGCACTGCCTTCGCTGCACTTCCTGTATTTTGCTATAGTGTTCTCTTATCATTTAGCCGGAAATAACTAATTTCCACCATGATGCTTTCCTCTGTTCGCTGTGTACTAAGAATTACATGTTTTTGATTACAGGACTTAAAGATTTTGAAGGTACATTTTCATCCTTATTTCTAATTAGTTACCCTATAGTCAGAAAACCTGACTGGTATGGATTTACAGTCTTGAAAATTATTGAGACTTTACATCGAGGATATGATCTGTCTTTGTTACCTGTTACTTGAACAGGCTGAACACTGATGGTGGACCACACGGCTACACCAGGCTTTTTATGGAGCAGTCTTATGAACTGCTTCCTGGGGCTGGCTTTTCTATCCATGTTGAAAATGCGTACCGTCTCACACACAGTGTAATTATCAAAAGCCTGTTTACATCTATCTTTCTACAGCTCTGTCTCAAAATTATATAACTTGATATACTAATTGTTCTTTCAATTTCCAAAACTTACTTTTATTTTCCTCTTATAAAATGCGGCTGCTTCTTCCTGGTATAATTCTTGTCGCACTTGTTCCAAATCTTCACGCTGCCGCAGCATTTCTTCCAACTTCTGAATCAGCTGTCAAATTTTTTTAAACAAAAATATTTATAGGACCAAGCTCTGTAACCAGCATCTCAGAATTTTACCAGAGGTGAAGAAGAGTTCGTCTCAGTACCGCATTCTGAAGCTGCAGCCTTTTCCCCTCCACTTCTTGAACCTTTGCCCTCCTTTCTTCCTCTCTTTGCTGCTGCATGTTGGCAAACTCTATGATTTTCCTGTTTTCCTCTTCCATCTCCATGCGTTTCTGCTTTCTCCACAGAGCCTGCTCTTTCTGAAACTCTTCAATGTACTTCCGAGTTGCGTTCATTTTTTCTAACTTTTGTTGTCTTTCCCTATAAAACAACAGTGATACAGTTTTACAGTAACAGAAATAATAATAAATTAACAATGCAATTTCCTTTTTGGAGTACTAGTTTTCAAAATACACCTTTCCTATATGTAATTTGTTCATTCATTCAAGCAATAAACATTTTGAATGCCTACCATGAGCCACTAAGTAGAAGGTGAGGAATGAATTTCCTCTGAACAAAACACTTCCATCCCTTTCTTCTATTAATAGAGTTGTATACATTATTTTTTCAGAAAGGCTACAACCCTGATTGTAGTAGACTACACTTCAGCTGTTTACCAAGGAAATTCATCAGAATATGATGCGGGCATATTTAAGAAAAGGGTTTGAGTCACTCCAGCAAGCATTTATTTTCACGTAATTTATTCATAATCATGCTGACAAAGATCGGGAACTGCCCTCAGTTTATGATCACTGAACACTTAGGATGCATCGGTCCCTCTTTATGCTACAGGTGAAGCATCTGTGCTTCACCTCTTTACGGCAAACCTAAGATCAGTGTAAAGGAAATGTTTAGCCATTTAAAAAAATTGGGATAAACTTACAATTGGTCTTCTTCATATATTTTCCTAACAATCTCATCAATCATGAGTTTTTCTTTCAGCAGCTGCTCATAAGCTTCCTGCTTTCTTTTTTCTTGTTCTTCAAGTTGCTTCTCTAAGTCAAGGTAGTACCGTGCTTTCTCTCTGTTGCGTTTGTCTTCCAGAGCATTTTCCTCCCTCGTCACTCTCTCGTGCTCTTCCATCATGGTTTTGGCTATTTCCGCATCACGTTTCTGGAATCATAACAAAGTTTATCTTTCCATTTCAAATTGGAGACAAGCATGGTGGATTATTTTAAATAGACTAACTAGCTATTTTAAAGCCGTCCCATAAGCAAGTATTTTCATCTGTGTAACTACACAGTAAAAGAAAATCACGGTGACCTGAATGGTGAGAAAGAAGAATTAAACCCCAGAGAGGGGAGGTTTCCTGTTCCTTTCAGAAGCTGTCCTTGAGCAATAATAGGACAATCAGTAAATCTACACTGGGAAACCAGAAGTACAATGATAAGCATTTTATTAGTAACTGTTTAACTCAAAGCTATAGTCTTCTCTCTCTTCTATTTATAAGCTGATCTTGGCAATTTGCATAGTTTTTAGCTCCAGGGTTTATCAGTCGCTATTTGGTACAAAGCTGGCCTGAGCTCTTTCATACGGATCTGCTATCAGATGACTGCAAGCAACTCAAGCTTTTTCCAGCCAGAGTCTCCTTCCTGCCATGAGCCTCTGAGTTTGCTCTCTCCCAGTTATCAAGGGCCTTGTGGAATCTCTTTAAAGGGTCCTTATGTTCTGTGCCTGTTTCTCACAATCTTTAATTCATTTGTGCAGTACCATTCCTGTTAAGAGATAAAACTTTTCTTGGATGGATTAAACCCCTTAAGTTTTCTGAGCATTATCAAATAATTTAACAAAATAAGTTAATTTAATTTATTTTATTTTATTTTTGAGACAGTCTCGCTATGCAGTTCAGGCTGACCTTGAACTGACTTTGTAGCCCAGGCTGGCCTCAAATTCACAGCAATCCTCCTGCCTCAGCCTCCCAAGTGCTGGGATTACAGGCATGCGCCACCACACCTGGCTACAAAATAAGTTTTAAATGAAACATACTGGAGCAACATTTGCCTTTATGATCACGTCCCAAATACAGGAAGAGTTGTGCAGCGTCAAATATAAAGAAGAAACAGGTTAAAATATGAATAGATAAATGTCATTCCTGATATAACTGATGCCTGCAAAATAAACCCTGTCAATATGACAAAATTTTCTCTTTTTTATATATGTTGTACTAAATTTTTAAAAAATATGAAATGACAAAACTTTTCTGTATGCATAATTACCTAGTTTTAGAATGCAAAGTTCTCATTTTACAAACAAGAAAATCAAGGCTCAGAGAAACTGAGCCACACCAGTATCCAGATACCCTGACGCTTGGTCAAGGCTTGGGAATATTTGGCTTTAATTTTGTGTACCAATTTGATTTAGACATATCATTCTAAATCTTTTTAGGAGTCAAATTAAAATGTGTACAATGACCCTGAATACTTTAACTATCAGAAATACTAAAACCAAAAAATCACTGGTCAAATAGTAAATTGTGTTCTATTTTGTTATTGAAAGGATAGAACCATACGCCTTAGGAAATAAATTCTTCCCACTTTTTCTACCCCTGCCACACCTAAGGGTATCATTAACAGTACACAATGGAACCTCCAGACATTTTCTACAGTAACACAAATGTACACACAAATAACACGTATGTGCCTCTACATCTTGTGCCTATTCTTAAAAATACTGATATTGCACTGCATGGGTTAACTACTATGATACCATCCCTGACTTGTACATGTGTGTGAATATATGTTGATACACAAAATATACACATACGTGCACATACAATTGTCTGGGCTTTGTATGTGACAGTGAGGCTCAAGGGATGACCTATACCCTGTAGTTAACGGTTAACTCAATAACCCTATTACATATTTACACCATGTAACACTGCTAGTGAGCATGTCTGAGAGTCCTCTGTCCACGCGCAGTCCCTCAAAGTGGCAGCATATCAGGAGTTAGAAAGGGGATTAATAACAAGGGCACTGGTAGGTCAGATTCATACTTCAGACCACAGTGAATTTCTAACCCAGGTGTGTTTTAAAAAAAAGAAAAAAAAAGAAAGAAACAAAACGGGATTAGCGTATCCCACTGTTCTTGCCACTTTCTGAGGTGGTTCTGGAAGTCCTCTCTTGTGGTTTTACAATGTTTAATAAAGAACACCGTGAATGCTGCTGTCTTTGCACATCATCCTACGGGAAGGCACATTTATAAAAGTATCTCCATGCATCCTCATCCACTGTACCCCCTGGATGTGCACCATGTAACTTCTGGTTCTTCCCCAAAGTCAAAATGATCATGTAAGGTAAATACTCTGACTCAATTCAAGAAACTGAGGCAGCCACAAACTGCAACTAAAGATACTCATGAAAGAGGACTTTAACTTTTTCAAAGAATCATATTTTTCAAATGTGCCTCATAAAACTATTCAAATTATAAAGTATTTTAAAAATTAATAATCTTCTAAAATATAGCCCTGCTAACAATGTACACTATTATGTTTTATCAGAGAATAACCAGGTAGAGGCCATAAAGAATGCCGGGAGTTATTTAGGGCTCTGAAAGGCTTGAATATTAAATTGAGCAAGGTTCCATATGAGTTCACTAAAGATTTTCCATACCCTCAAACCTGAAAAGTATACAAGTATTTGGAAAAATAGCAGTGCAAATTCTTTATGGAATGTAACAATGTTAAAAACAAAACAGAAAAACTAGGTTTTAACATTTTTCTAAATAAAGCTCAAAGCATAAAAACTTAAGATCAGAAACAGTGTTACCATTTGCTCGTATTTAATGGCATCCTTCTCCGCAATCTGGGCAGCCCTCTCCTTATTCATGTAAGCTGCTCTTAATTTCTGCTCCAGTTCTCTGAGTTCAATACTGTGGAGGGAAGAAAAGACAACCTGAAATTGAAGTATATAAGAAAACTTCACAGAAAACTGAGCTTCTTCTACATTTTAAATTTTTTCAGAAACTACATAACTAGTATCCCTGTAGACCCACAGGAGAGATACCTTAATTCATTACATTTAATGGATGCTTTAGGGCTCTCGGGGCTTAAAGGAACATATTATTCTATTACATTCACCCATTTGTTTATAACAACGCCACAGTGTCTTAACTCCTGCAGATTATATTAAGTCTTCATACCCTGAAGAAATCATCTCCAATTTTAGTGTTCTTTAAAAAAAATTCGCGATTCTTAGTACTTGCGTTTCCATTCCCACTTTAGCCTTGGCTTGTCAAACTTCACCAAAAACAAAACCGGCAGCACTTCTGATTAAGACTGCATTGAATTCCTAAATCTACTTGGAATGTGTAAGCTTTCAGCTTTCTCTTCGCTCTCTCCTCCTCCATTCTTCCTGTAACGATTTTAGAAAGTAATCCGCTGATTGTTTGCTATGAATCCCCATAGGAATCATGTGTAATGCAGTCATTTCAGACTAAAAATTTCCCTGACAGGAACAGCCTTAGCTACGTCCTGGAAGAGATGGGGTGTTCTTTTTTAATCTTACAACTTTTACTGCGAAAAATACATATAATGGGAAAATTCGCATTTTAACTATTCCAAGTGTAAAATCCACTGGTGTTACTATATTCAGTGTCCTGTGAGCATCAACAGTATTTCCAATGTTTTTTTCATCACCTCAAACAGAAACGCAGTATCTATTAAACAACTACTCCCTCTTCCATCCTGCCCGAGGTCTACTTGCATGTATCTGTCTAGTTCAGGTAAGTAACATTATACAGTATCTGTTCGGCTGCCTGGCTATTTAGTGTAACATGTGTCATATGTTCACTCAATGTGGCCACGTACCAGAATGTCATTCCCTTTTTATGCTGGATGACCTTCCATGGCATGTGCCTGCCCACCTGCTCCACTACTCGTCCACTGGTGAACAATCAGGTTGTTTCTGCCTTCTGACCTCTGTAAACCATCACACGGAACACTGACGTATTCATTTCAGTCAAGCATTCAGCTCTTTTGCACACGTACCTGGGTGTAAAATCCTCGGGTCACATGGTAGCTGCTTAACTTTTTCCACACTTTACGTTCATACCAGCAGCATTCGCAGGGTCCAATTTTCCACTTTCTTGGCCACAGGTGTTATACCCCACTCGTATTAAGAGTGTGAAATGGTTTCCTGTTGAGGCTCTGGTTTGTATTCTCGAGCGGCTGAGGAAACTGAGTATCTTCCCATGTACTCTTTGCTCACTGTCTATCATCTTTGGGACAATGTCTATTTAAATGCTACGCTCATTTTTGAATCGGGTTTTTATTACAGAATTGCAGCCTTTCTTCCTATATTCTGGACACTCAGTCCTTCTCAGAAATACAAGCTGTTTTTCTTGCCTAAGTGAGTTCTTGCTAGAACACGATCCATCTGTGTCTGCGTTCCGCAGAGGCAGTTAGGACAGGCGGTGTGCTCTGCTCCCCTGTAGGCCAGGAACCCGTCTCAACTTCAGACCACAGCTGCTGCCCTCAACCTCTTCTGAGCTGTCTCAGAGCCCTCAGTGGCAGTAAATGCACAAGTCTAAGTCACCCCTTCCTTGACTCAGCGTTTGATTGGTTCCCATCACCTGTGGATTAGCAGAGTTCTTACGAGTTGGTTCTTACAGCTTCTCCTTGGCGTTTTATGCTTGGTTTTTGTGGTTTGTTTTAGTGCACCTCATGGGGAACACAGGTGGGAAGGACAGGGGCCTTAACCTGCCTATACTTGTTATTTTGCTGACATCAGCCTGGCAACTTTTACCATGAGATAGTCTCACTACTTTCACTTGACAGTATTTTCTAATTTCAATTTTGAGGATGTTGAAGAGAAAGATTTGCACTGGTATTGTTCAGACAACTCAAGGTAGATGCCTTGTGCTCTGGGTGAATGATTTGGGGATGACAATGTGGAATGTATGTGCCATTGCTACCCCCTGATTAATGTACTTTAAAATTTTGTTGGAGTTTTTTTCTTCTTCTTTTTCTATCTATGAATAAAATGGATTTGAAAAAATAATAATTTCAATTTTGATTCCTTTTGGCCCAAGAGTTATTTAGAAATATATTTTTAAAATATTTAAACGTAGGGCTGGGGATTTAGCCCAGTGGCACAAGCACCTGCCTGGTAAGCGCAAGGTGGTAAGTTTGATCCCTAGTAACACCAAAAACAAAACAAAACAAAAAAACCCTTAAACATATTGTGAGTGGTTTTTAGTTCCTGACATTTAGTTTAATTCCAATGTAGCCACAGAACATAATATATATAAATTAAATCCCTTGACAATTTCTTGATAATTTTATTCTGGACTAACGTATCATGTCTGTTGGTTCAAATATTTTTACTATAACAACTAATAAAGCTGTTTAAATTTACAGCCTTAGTACCTTCTTTCACTTTGTCCTCCCTGTTACGTTCACTGTTCTCTCCTTTCTGCTGCTTCGTGGGTACCGCAGCCACCCGGGTGGAGCAGCTTAGATGGCTCTCGATGAGATGAGGGTCACAGCACTCGGCATGTGACTGCGCACGTGTTCCCGTGAAAGAATGCAGAGCAAAGCGGCACAGGAAAAGACAGGTGGGGTGAATCCAGAGGGAACCGGGTGAAGCTTCGGAAGACCTGTCCTGTGGGATTCACGAGGACACGCCTGGCCCCAGGAGCTGGGATGACCTGTGTGAAATGCTGTCTGCCAGAGAAGCTCAGGGGGACCCAGCACTGAAGGTTTTGCGGGGAGCTGGTTACTTAGGCAGCCTCCACCTGGCACATGCTGACTTCCAGAATCGCAGAAGAAAGAAAGGCGATGTTTGCAGGAAGATGCACATCGTTTTTGCAAACAGTGTAGGCACTTCTAACTATTTACCACAGTGCAAACTTACTCAAATCTTAGTTCCTAGAGGCGTGCCAAGAAGCCTGCTATGTGGACTGGTTTCTGCACAGCCTTCTTCTGAGTCTTCATTTCCTGTAATCACATGTTTTTGCTCTATATAATTAATTTAATTGTGTTTTCCACATTTTTAAGACAAAGATTACATACGTATGTTGTTTCACATCTGTTAAAATTGTTCTATTATTTACCACACAACGAAAGATTCTTGACCACTGTAGCTTCATTTATTTACTATTTTGTTTTTATTATTTAATTACTGTTTATTTTATTTTATTTTATTTTATTTTTTGTCTTTCTCCTTTTTATCGGTACCAGGGATCGAACTCATGACTGTCTGCTTGCAAGGCAGGCGCTTATGCCGCTGAGCTAAATCCCCAGCCCCAATTACTGTTTATTTTAAAGTGAAAAAATAAAATGAAAACTCAAAACAAGAGGGTAACTGGTTAATGTATTGCATATTATTTTTAAATTAATTACTCAGAGTACAAGATATCTGCATTTAATTGTTCAAACAATATTAGTACAAACCTTTCTTTTCAATGAGCTAAGAGAAATTAGTAGTATAACCCTCTTAACTACCTTTTATATATTTTTCTTTTCCCTTCCTTCTTTTCTCCACTCACCCATTGCAGTTTCTCTTTCCTTTTGAAGCTTCTTCCCATTTAGAACAGCCATCGTAGATTTTGTACCTTATTTACTCTTTTAGCTTCTCACACTAAGGAGACAATATGATGTTTACACAAGTGTCTGGTGTATTTTACTTATGAGTATGGTCTTGAGTTGCATCTATTCATTTATAAAAGTATCTAGTTTATCCTTTTACACCTAAGTAGCACTCCATTGTATAAAAAGACCGTATCTTTTTTATCCATTCTTCAGTTGATGGGCATTTGGGTTGTTTCCAAGATGCACCTATTACAAATTGTGTTACTATAAGCATGAGTGCACATACATTGCTGTGGTATGATGTTTTTAATTCTTCTGGGAAAATACACAGCAGGAGAAGAGCTGGGTCAAAGGGGACCTCCAATCCCAGTTTTTTGAGGAGTCTCCACACTGATTTCCACAGTGGTCACACTAGCCTACACTTCCACTTCTCCAACAGTGGAGAAGGGTTCCCTTTTCCCCACAGCCCCTCCAGCAATTGTTACTGGTTGATTTCTTGATAACAGTTATCCTTTCCAGGGTGAGATGGAACCTCAGCGTTGTTTTAGCACACATGTCTTGAATGCCCAGTGATGTTGAACAGTTTTTCATATATTTATTTGCTGTTTGCATTTCTTTTTGCAGGGGCATATCAGGGACTGAACTCACGCCCTCGTCCTTGCCAGGGAGGCGCTTATGCTGCTGATCTAAATCCCTGGCCCTGCTCTTTGTATTTCTTCATCTGAGAAGTGTGCATTCATCTCACATGCCCATTTTTTGATTAGGTCCTTAAATTTGGAAAGTCTGGGTTTTTTTTAGTTCTTCATATGTATGATAATAATTCTGTAAGGAATAGCTGACAAACATTTTTTCCCACATTGTGGGTTGTCTCTTCCCTCTGTTGGTGGTTGAGATCCCAGCTGTTGATTCTTTGTGATAGTTATTGTGACTGGGGTTTTATTTATAAGGTCTTTTTTTACACCAATGTCTTCAAGAGTTTTACGTACTCTGGGCTAGGGATTTAGCTCAGCGGCATAAGTGCCTGGCTGGCAAGCACGAGGTCATGAGTTCAATCCCCGATACCACCAAAAAAAAAAGGAGTTTTACCTATTCTATTTTTGAGCACATTATGTGTTTACTTTAATATTTAGATCTTTGATTCATGGTGCATGATGAAAGTGCATGGGGAAAGATACAGATCCAGTTTTAATCTTCGGCATGTGCAGAGCCAGTTCTTCCAGCACTATTTATTAAAGAGGCTATATTTTTCTTCCAGTGAACGTGTTTGGCATCTTTGTCAAAGATAAGGTGGCAAAGTATGGCCATTTTCACTGTTTTGGTTCCCCCTACCCAGGAGCAAAGGATATCTCTCCTTTTCTGGTACGCTCTTCAATCTCCTTTTCCAGAGAATTGTAGTTTTTAATGTAGAGAGGTCTTCTACATCCTTCGTTAGAATGATTCCTAGGGATTTTATTTTTTTGGATGCCATTGTGAAAGGTGCTGTTTCCCTGATTTCACTCTCAGCAAGTTTGTTATTCATGTATAGGAAGACTATTGATTTTTGAGTGCTGACTTTGTATCCAGCTACATTACTGAATTTGTTTATTAAATCTAGCAATTTTTTTTTTGTCTTTTTCGTTTTTATCGGTACCAGGGATCGAACTCACGACTGCCTGCTTGCAAGGCAGGCGCTTAGGCTGCTGAGCTAAATCCCCAGCCCCAAATCTAGCAATTGTTTAGTGGAGTTTTTGGGGTCTCCCATGTAGCATATATCATGTCATCTGCAAACAATGATAATTTAACTTCTTACTTTCCTATTGTTATTCCTTTTATTCTTTCTCTTGTCTAATTGCTCTGGCTAAAGTTTCCAATAGTATGTTGAATAAGAGTGCAGACTGGACATCTTTTCCTTGTTCCTGATTTTAGAGAGAAAGCCTTCAGGTTTTGTCCATTTAGTATGATGTTGGCTGTTAGTTTGTCATAAAATGGCTTTTATAAATTGAGATAAAGACCATCTATTCCAGCTTTCTGGAGGACTTTTTAAATCATGAATGGGTGCTGGACTTTGTCAAAAACTTTTTCTGCATCTATTGAGGTGATCATATGGGTTTTGTCCTTGGCTCTGTTAATAAGGTGTACTACGCTTACTGACTTAGGTATACACCATCCAACCCCATTATCTAACATTTTTTACTGTCCTTGTTCAACATTCATACTCCTTAATGTCACTTCTTTGAAGCTAACATACATTTTCTCTGGCTGCTTTTATTTTTTATAAATCAGGTTCTGGATATTTGATGAGAATGAGTTTGGAATTTAGGTCGAATTTTGATTTTTGAGTTTTATGCCTGTGGCTTTATGTCTACCATTTTTAGCATCTCTGCAAATAATGCTCTGTATCATCCTCTTTAACCTTCACTACCAGGACTAAAATGAATGTATATAAATCTGTTAATAATTTCCACCATAAGCCATGTCTTAGTTACTTTTTACTCGTCGCTGAGAAAAAATACCTGAAGCCTAAGTTGGGAAAGGAAAGGTTTATTTCTTACAGTTTTTGGAGGTTTCAGCCCACACTCAGTTGGCCCCAAGGCAGGCGGGCATGGCTGGGCCGCAGTTCATGGCAGCCACCAACAGCAAGCAGGAACCAGCAAAGAGCAAGACACACCTTCTTCCTGCCATTACATCACATCCTGGCTCCACCCCTATGTGGGTGTAGCACTGACATCAATCCAAGCACTAGACAATGAACCAATCACAAATGCACAATGCAAACTCACGAGGCCTGGCGGACACAGACAAAAACCATGACAAGCCAGTATCTCTTTTAAGTTCTCGTCTGTATTTTTCTACCCATGTGTATCTCCCACCTTTCTTCTGTAGTTCACACTAAACTATCTCAGAATATCTATTCATTTATGTCTTATCTTATAAAACAAATTATAGGATAATATACACCAATGTGCAGAAATTTTACATGTAGAGCTTGAGGAAAACTACTAAACATGTTAGTCCTGTGCCTTTTTGTCAGGTGCAGCCTCCTATAACTTAGTCATACTTTCAGAATCTGCAAGAACCTCCAGAAGGAACACAGCCACTAATGCCAAGCTCATCACACTAGTTTTTTCTTCTCCCAGCGTGATGGATTGTTAACAGTGATCGGCTTATAACGCCAGCTGAACTGCATCAGTGTAGTGCTGTGCGGATGACCCATCTGAGCATTGTTGCTAAGATAAAAAGGAGGACTGTAGAGGAAGAGGTAGTGTTGGTTCTCCATGGTGGGGTTGGTTCTCCTGTTGTCACTGGTTCTCCTGGAGGAGCTTGTTGGCTTCTGTCCTGGTAGGAACTTGGCTGTTCTCATCATCAGATGAGCTTGGGACCTTGTCACTGAGAATGGCTGCAGTTCACTTTGAGGGAGCTCTGGTTTTTACTTTACCACTTCCTGGCTCCGGCGAGGAAGATGGTGTGCTGTTCAGTCTCTAGGAGAAACTTGTCACGCTGGCTTCCTGATATGAACTTGGTTGTTCACATCATCAGAGGAGTTTGGGACCTTGTGGCTGAGGATGGCTGTGGTAGTTTTCAGGGAAGTTCTGGTCCTTACCTTGAGCGCCGCTTCCTGACTCCAGTGCAGATCCCTCCGTCTGCTGGCACAGATCCTTCACCTTGTTGGCACAGACTTTCTAGCTTCCATCACTGTCCTTTGGGCCTTCCCAGCACAGATTCATGAAACAGACTCACATGAGACACTGTCACGGGCTCCAGGTCTGTCTTAGTTACTTTTCTCTCTTGTTGTTGAGATAAACTACCTGACACCCAAAATTAGGAAAGGGAAAGTTTAGTTCTTACAGTTTTGGAGGTTTCAGTCTATACTCAGCCGTTTGTGCTTGCTGTTTATGATGGCCCCCCCATACCACCCTGCCACCTGGCGTCAGCTGAGTATAGATTAGGGATCAACAGTGTGATGTGGCCGTCCCTGGGAAGCAACTGTCTTGAGGACTGTATTAGTTTCTTTTCTCATGGTGAGACAAACGTCTGACACCCTCAAATTAAAGAAGGAAAGGTTTGTTCTGCTCACAGTTTGTAGAGGTTTCAGTCCATTACTAGCCAGCTCCAAGGCAGAGACATGGCACACAGGCATTGCAGAAGAAATACAGTCCATGGCAAGGCGGGCAGAAAGCAGCAAGCATTAAGTAGCAGCAGAAGCAGCTCCCTTTCCCTGTTATCCCATCCAGGCTAACACCCTTACGGGTGGTGCCACACACAGCCAGGGTGGGCCTTCTCATTATCAGAACCCAGAACTAGGCTACAGCAATCAGTGCACGGATTTAGCACCTCACACCTTTAACCCCAGTATCATCCACCCTAGATGCAGCCAGCTCTGAAATGCCCTTTGTATAAGCAGATGAGGCTTTGGAGGCACATCTAGATCCAAGCCACAGCAGGAAACATTCAGAAATATATTCCAGGACTCTATGGGACTATTTTTCATAGTAAGAATAAAAATTTTTGCAGAAGAAACTGACAATTAATTTTCACTGTAAATATTACACTTCTATGAATGCAATTAATTTTCTCAAATGAATATTTCTAGACTAAAACCAGCATTTCCAGACAAAATACTGTATAGTAACACAGCAAAGAGATTTACACTTTCAGGTGTTAAAGATTACATAATGTTTATGTATAAATACCAAAAAAATCAAAGTAGTAGAAATCAGGGTACCTGTTTTCTCTTACTTGTTGCCTCATCTTTTCATCCTTTAGACTTTCATGCTTTAGTTTTGCCAGTTCTACAGCCAATTTTTCCTCTTGTTCAAGCTGCTTTTCCCTTAATCTCTTGTTTTCTTCTGCCTGAATAAAGAACATAACTTAGTTATGTTTTCCTCCAGAATGCCTTCTTTCTATCGTGTTTCGATTTGTTTTATAACAAGAAACTAAACACTTTAAGAGCAATGGTCAACTAACTATTTTAATATACAAAATAACATTTCAACAAATACGTTTCCAAACATACTACCATGGTAAAAATTTCCAGTCTCACCAATGTTCAAAAAAATATGAAAATAAACCCTCTCCAACCACTGATCTTTTTACTGTTTTCCTAATCCTGCCTTTCTCAGAATATCATACTGCTGAAATTACACAGAATATGGCCTTTTTAGGTGACTTCCTTCACTTAGTAACATGCATGTGAAGTTCCACCATGGTTGCTATCTCATTTCTTTAGTGCTGAACTGTCACATCCACATTTCTAGACATGCAACAGGAAAGGCCCAATTCTTCTGGGAGACACTTTCATTTTTCATTCTTCCATGGCTGCCCCAAATGCCCTGCAGCTGGCCATAGCTAGGGCAGATGACTCATGGCCACTCTAGCAGACAGCTGCTTTGGCAGCTGCAGGCTTCCATCATGGGCCCATCACAGATGACCTCACCCAACAGGCTCTCTAGAGGCCTTGGCCCTGTGTAGTCAACCTCAGTCAGGTCCATAAGGCACAGCCCCCACCTATGACTAAGCAGAAAGTCTGACACTGCACATGCAAAAGCCTGCCTTTCTCCTCTAGGTAATCAACTCCCAACATAGCCTCAGTGGTCAGTCCATGCAATGGCTCCTCTTACGCTGCACAGTAAGGCCGAAAAAAGTCCCCTTGAACAGCGTATTTTTCTCCATTCATGCTTTCCATCTCCAGGAGAGCAGGCTGAGCTGGTATACTAAAAACTGGTAATGCCAAAGGCCACGGCACCAAAAGCAGCCTGAGCTGAGGCTGGCGACAGGGAAGGTAGACAGCAGACAGAAAACAATGAGGACAGAGTTGCCTGGAGTTGCCATCTTTGATGTTAGATAAGCCTCTCAGGTCAGGGGCTCCAAGTGGCAAGAGGGACCACTAAGCCTAAGAAATGATAACCACTGGCACCCAGAGACTAGGGCTGCTAATACTGCGCCTGTTCCTGACTTTCACTTGAACTGAGCAAAAGAACTCTTAGCCAATCAGTGACAGATGTAAGTTTATCAAGACTTCCTGACTGCTTCCAAGTTTTGGCATTTACAGATAAAATAACATGTAGTTTACTGTATGTTAAATACTATGTATTTAAATATATGCTGTATATACATGAAATATGATCCGAATATGCAGTTAATGTTTAACTTTTTAAAAAAGAAAAAAATTATTATTATAATGAAAGGCAATCTGCCATTAATCACCCTCAAACTATTTTCCCTTACTACAAAAACCTTTATCCTATTGCTCTGCTGTTTTCTGAAGCAATTCTTGAAGTTCTCCTTCTTTCTGACTGTGATCAAAACAGATGAAGTGAAGTCAAAAACACAGTGAAAAAGACATATAAGACCACAATATTAGGTAATCTACAGTAGTTACTATGCTTTCTCTTGTTATTTTCAATAAAATTCTTGTTATTTTCAATAAAATCATCAGGCATTATATAGTTAAGCTAGCATTACATTTTATAAAACACATCTTTGTAGGACTTGAAAGCAGTTAATCAAAACTGGAATGGATATCTTTTACATCTTGTCATCTTCAGAGTAGTTGTCTCTACTCTTAGACTTGATACTGTCAAGCATACCAAATTTGAATAAAATCAGTCAAGGCAAAATAGTGGTCTAATAAACCAGCTTCAAATAAGTAATAGTAAGTCACAGTAAGAAAATGTAAGTAATACAGGGTTTCAGTTTAAGTTAACAGGAAATTAAGGATAGTTACCGTGGTATAACCTGTTACTTTTGGGTTAGCTGTCTGTGCCCTCAAATCTCAGATGAGTAGACAGATCGTAACAAAATATAATCAAATTAAACAGAACACTAAGACTACTCAGGCTTCTCAATTCTGATACACTTTTAACAATGTCCTCTGTCTTCCTTTTTTAGGCAATTCCTCACCTTTCCCCTTCTCAGGATGCTTTGTGTATTTTGGGTCCCACTAGCTCCTATAGTTTTTAGACTAGGGGGTCAATCTGTTATCTATCTGAGTGTGGCTGAACCTTTTCATCCCTGAGCTTAATCTTGAGCTGTACTCCTTTACTTACTAACGCCACAAAAGTTTTCCTTCCTTCCAGCTGTGTAGTTCCTACACTGCCCATAAGTGTCATAACTTTCCAACCTACACGCGGCTGCTGGATGAGTTGTCCCTATTTCTCTCTCTTTCCTGTCACATATAGCATTGTCTTCTCATCTTTGACTTTCAGTTTATTAACCCTCTTTCAGGTTGAGTGTATTTCCTATTCAGAGCCTCTCGATGTATACTGCCTCCTAACCTACTCTGCCTGTGTTTCTTTTTTGTTGGTATATCAAGGCTATATATATTAAAGATTATAGCTTACCGTCTCTGCCTCATCTCTGCTATTATTTGTCCACTTTACTCCTTCATTCCACTGTCTTCCCTGTTCATTGAGGCCTCTCTGCCATTCCTCTCTGCTGGAATCTCGGTTTTTCCTCTGTCTGGAATGTCCTTCAGTGTTTAGGGCTGGGATGGTGGCCATGAACTCCCACAGTTCCTCCTTGTCTTGGAAATATCTTGTTTCTCCATTAATTTTGAGAGAGTTTTTCCGAGTACATCAGCCTTGGTTGGAAGTTATTTTCTTTCAGAGCTTGGACCATTTTCCCCCAGGCTCTTCTCGATTTGAGAGTTTGTGTTGATAAGCCTGTTGTTATTTTGATAATTTTTCCTTTGTAGGTGATCTGCATCTTTTCTCTGGCCACTTTTAATATTCTGTTCTTGCGGTGGATTTCTGGTATCTTGATTATCATATGTCTGGGTGTAGATCTGTTTTGGTTGTAGGTGGCTGGAGTTCTGTATGCCTCATTTATTTGGATATCATTTCTTTTTCCTATGCTTGGGAAGTTTTCCTTAACTATATCTGTGAATATTCTTTGTAGTTCATTTATGGTTGGTTATCCCTGCTTCTTCATTTACATTTTTTATTCTTATGTTATAAATCCTCTTGTCATCTTCTAGCCTTTGAATTGTTTCTTTCTGGCTCCTTGTTATTTTTAAGAGATCTTTTCTTTCACGATCATACATCATAAATCTCTCTTCAAATTTCAAAAGGCTTTTAGTTTCTGTCAAGGCATTTTGCCAGCTTTCAATGGAGTTTTTAGTTTCCTGGTAATCTCTTTGGATCTGTTTCATGTATTCTAGATTTTGTTTATATTCTTAATGAAAGGTTTCTCTTCCTTTTCCGAGTTCCTCTGTTCCTCCATTTGTGTTCTCTTGGGAGGGGCTTATCATTTCTTTAATTAATCTTTTTTATATCTTGCCTCACTTGGATCAGAAGTACAGTTTTAAATTCATCTATGAGGTCACAAAGGTATTTCTTTATGTCCGCTGATGCTGTGTCTAATATTGCATGATTACTGCACTGGTTCTCTTCTGTATTTACCTCTCCTGGGCTTATTTTCCCAGGGTCAGCGGCTGGAGATTTTTTTTTTTATTTCTATCTCTTGTCATGTTTCTGGTTTCTTTCAGACAGGTGTGTCCTGGGGGTCTCTGGCCCTCTCCTTATTGCTTAGGGTTTTTCTGAAGTGTGCTGAGTGGGGTTTTGCTGCCCTCCCCAATTTGCTGTCATCTGAGGTACAGACAAGGACACAGGGACGGTGCAGGCTAGCCTCTAGACTCTGAGCCAGTTGACCCGCAATTTCCTTCAGGGACTTACGTTGTACCTTGCAGATATCACCAAGTCATGACTTTTTTTGTCCTTGACTATTGGGTCCCAACCAGAGGCGTAGCTCAGCCCTGAAGAGCTCACCTATCCTCTCTGCACCAGGGTTGGCTGACTGATGCCCCCGCAGTGCTGGGCTCTGCCCAACTCCAAGATGTCCTCCAGCCAGGGACAGCAGCCGCAGGACCCAATCCTCAGCACTCACCGGGAATCAACGCAGCTTCTCCTCTTGACTGCACTCCACGCTATGCCATGTCCTCCCGCAAGGGCTCAGGACTCAACAATTCCCATTATCGGCGGCTGTGGCTTCAGCTCGACCTTGAATTGCCTGACTCCACGGTGCTCCCAGTATAGCGCGGACCTGTCTCAGTGAGCACGTAGGGCTCCAGCCCTATACTCACGTTTTTCCTTCCTCTGCAGAGGTAGATTCTAGCTTGATGTGGTTTTTCCACATCTAGGTCAGCATCCTGCCTCTTCAGAAAAATGCGTGGTGTGTGCCCAGCTTTGGCACCCAGACACATGGTCCTCACCGTGGCCTCCTCCGGAATCGGGCCCCGGACCCAATTTCCAGTACTCACCGAGAGTCAACAGCTCCCCTCCTGGGCTCCACTTCTCTCTGTCAAGGGCCCAGGACTCACTGACTCTGGTTATCGGCAGCTGCAGCTTCAGCGTGACTTTGGATCCTCTGACTCCAGGACGCGCCCAGCACAGCACAGAACCGGTCTCAGTGAGTGCATCCCACTACAGCCCTCCACCCACGCTTTTCCTTCCTCTTCCTACTTTTTTTTTGTCTTTTTCCTTTTTATCGGTACCAGGGATCGAACTCATGACTGCCTGCTAGCAAGGCAGGCGCTTATGCCACGGAGCTAAATCCCCAGCTCCCCCCCCCCCAACTTTTATTTTTCCCTTCGGTTTTCTCCTGGCTTAGTAAAAATCATCCTCAGTAGTCTGGCCCTCTCCAAACTCTAGCATCTGAGCTGCCTTCCCTGCAGAGGCTCTCCATCCAGCCCCTATCAAGCTGCCATTTTGAGAATCTCCTGAACTATTTTCTTTTCTTTTTTTTTTTGTCTTTTTCCTTTTTATCGGTACCAGGGATGGAACTCACAATCGCCTGCTTGCAAGGCAGGTGCTTATGCCGCTGAGCTAAATCCCCAGCCCCTGAACTATTTTCAA